TATAAGACGTGCACATAATGCTCGTGCGTGTGCTCAACTGTTAACTGGTATAAGACGTGCACATAATGCTCGTGCGTGTGCTCAACTGTTAACTGGTATAAGACGTGCACATAATGCTCGTGCGTGTGCTTAACTGTTAACTGTGCTCATAGCCTGCCTCGTGATCTAGAGGCCAGACCAGTCATGGGACTTGCTACTTGTATAATGTGCCCTTTATCCTTGGGCTGCTGTTACAACATGTCAGATGATGCCAATGATCTTGATGAAGAGATGGCTTCAGACAGTGTTCCTGCTAATAAATATAATGATAAAAAATTATAATAATAAAAAATAATATAAGGAGTTGGAGCAAATGAAAGACAGGGTCAATTGTGACCTTAGGCTCAGCATGACTGATTGAAAAATAAGGAGTAACGACATACTCAATATGTATAACTTCATAATTCTTTATTTACAGCATAGTTTACAGTTACAATAAATAAAATTTACCCATTGCCATGGCACAAAAGTTTACTTTCTGTTTTAATATAACTTACTTGAGTTGGAGATTGTTTAAGTGATAAGTAATGTAAGGTTAATTGTACTCAATATTATCACTAAATTTTAGCATGTTTGTAATGTTGAATTAAATTAAATCCCAGTACTAATGTAGCAAGCCCCAGAAGACTTCTCAGATGGTCTAAAATTAAAAATTTGGGGAGCGCACCCACTCATACTCTCTTCCGTGAGAAGCTAACTGCTCACCATGGTGCCACACAACCACACCACAGAATTTAGGGCTGGGAAATATCGTTAAGGGCTGGTATATTTTACAGATCACTAGTCCTGTTAGTTAGTGAAGGTTTTAGTTTAGTTTCAAGCCCTGCATTATTCCGTCGCCACATTGCAGATTTTCGTAGCTTTATTCGTTTCTTTGTGTAATTCTTGCTGCGTCCTCTGCAGCAACTGAACCACCCGAACGTCATCATGTATCTCGCATCGTTTATCGAGGACAATGAGTTGAATATTGTACTGGAATTGGCAGATGCTGGTGACCTATCAAGAATGATAAAGGTGAGAGGAAGCAGATGTAATAGTTCAGCTGGTGTTATTATACTTAGTATCATGAACATATATGTCAGGAGTTAGGTAATAGCAGGTATGTGCATGTGCACAAACAGTGCTGACTGTGTTAGGATTTATTGGTTGTCTTCTACGACACACGATGGCGCCACCATTCACACATACACCCTTTCAGCACTTTAAGAAGCAGAAGAGGCTGATTCCAGAGCGTACGATCTGGAAGTACTTTGTCCAGCTGTGCAGCGCTCTGAACCACATGCACTCACGCCGCGTCATGCACAGAGGTGAGAACATGCGACATTTCTACGTATCCGCCTAGCGTGATTGACGGGCATAACTAGCCAATCACTGCTGCCGTTGGGCATTCTAAAAAAGCTCCTTAGTAACGAATTGCCACGAAGTCGATGAGTGCGCCACAAGTGTGCACGCATGAAAAGTGTGTAAAGTGTGGTCTGCAGATGTTAGAAAGAGTAGTTGGGTGATTAAAAATGTTGCGACGGTGTTGGCATAATGGGTTAATCGGCGGCAGCGTAGTGGGCGGCAGCGCGTTTGATGTAGTATAGATAATAGAGACGAGAAATGGTTGAGAATCAGTTGTTATGCATGTGCACAGCAAGTGTGGTTACCCGAGCGTACGATTGACTTTGTTAGCTAGAAACGTATAAATGAAGAGTTCTTGGTTGAGAAAGAAAACGGACGAGAGTGTGCGGGTCACGCGGATGTGTCGCATCGTCGTTACACACGTTTAGACCGGGTGAGCTTGACTGACCTAGGAACAGTATCCAAGGGTTCACAAGCATGGTTATCTCACTCAGGCTAGAGTAGGTTAATTGCCAAGTCAGGCACCAGTTTGCCGAATGTCAATCAAGAGCTCATTAAGCTTCAGTTTAAAAGGTTATCTGGCAGTAGACACGGGCTAGCAAGTTGTTGTTTTTTACACTCACAACGTATTTTTAGTTGTCGCGATTTACTCAAGCATGTTTGCATATCAGGCAATGTAAATACATTTGCTTGTCATGCTCAATGCACGATACGTTCACTTGTTAAATACTGCACACATGGGTGATGTATGCATAGATTTACTCATAGTTTTCTAGTAAGTCACTAGTATTGCTAGTTTGTTTGTTTGTTGGTGTATGTTCACTTGTCGTGCTGTGCACGTGTGGCATGTATGTTTTCATTTTTATTGTGCTGTGCAGACATCAAGCCAGCGAACGTGTTCATAACAGCGACGGGCGTAGTGAAGCTAGGCGATCTGGGACTCGGACGATTTTTCAGTTCTAAGACTACAGCGGCGCATTCTCTAGGTAAATACTGAAACCATAGTATGAAAGTTGACTTATAAATGATGTACGAACAAGCTATAGTAAAGTTTAAAGTTATTTCAATTGATGACATTTTTCTAAGGCTAAAATGCATGAGGGCTACTGGGCGCAAACAGGTGTAAAAGCCAGTCGAAGTGTAAATGTGTTAAAATGGATGCTTAATGGCTGGGGAGGGCAGTGATGCAAGTATCGTGCAGGTGCTGCCACCACATGGTGATTGTCATAGTCATACATGACGCAGTGTATTTTGATACATTTTAAGCATGTAAAAAATGTTCCAGTCTGCACATAAAAGCTGATTAAATTTTATTAGCAATTATAACATAGAAACTTTTTAAAATAGTATATTAGCAGTTATAATCAAATTTAAAACAGTTATTATTTCAATGGAATACATTTTTACAATGTACGTCAGCTCATGATGGGTGGGTAGGGTGAGGCAATGTGATGGTCATGAATTTGGATGGTTTTGGCAGTTGGAACACCCTACTACATGTCACCTGAGCGCATACATGAGAATGGATACAACTTCAAGTCGGATATCTGGTCATTAGGTTGCCTGTTATATGAGGTACTGATACATCGCTTGGTGCAGGTAGTGACACCTGTAAACATTCTGAGAGTTTGCATGTGTTAGACTCGTGACCACGTCAACCGATATCAGTAGAATATTGTCAGTTGAGCATACCTGCATAATTTTTAGGCTGCGGGCTACGCGTCCAGTCATATATTTCTTATGTGAACCCAACTATATTTTTTCAGTAAAAAACAATATACAATAAATTTTCAACATAATATTACTTACCTTTAGGTATTTTATCAAAAAAAGTGTTTTTGTAACTTTTGAAGCAATACTAATAGTAAATCCAGTAAAATCAACGATTCGAAAGTGGGTGTGGCCTAATCATGACGTGGATTTGGGAATCTGTGCTGAGCTTTGTAATGGATGACCGGTCACGTAGCCACTGTAATTTTTAATGTTTAATTGTCTTTTTGACATGTTTTCCAGATGGCAGCACTGCAGTCACCATTCTATGGAGACAAGATGAACTTGTATTCATTGTGTAAGAAGATTGAGCAATGTGACTACCCACCTTTACCCTCCGATCACTACTCAGAAAAGGTACGCATTAGTTACTTACTGTCACAGCTCTTAAGCTTGTCAGTAGAGAATTTAATTACTGTTTGAACTAAATTACTGTTTGCAAAGTTGCATGCTGAATTCATATGTTTTCGGAGTACACATGATCTAGTGTGAACAATCTGACCATTTCAGGGTTTCTTAGACATAAGAGGCACAGTGGCGCACCGCCGTTGTCAAATTTAACATCGCCGTTGTGAAAATGTTCCTGTATTTACCCGCCGTTGTCAAAATAGTGTCAACCCAAAAATAAACAGATCACCACGTGCTTGTGCCATATTTAGATTGCCCTGTGCGTTTATTGAGTCATGTGATGCTGGCTCTACACTTTTCCGTTATTTCCTTTGAATCCATCATGCACGTTTTTTCCCAAACTGGCCATTATCGCCTTTGTCTAATTTTCCCTCAGAAGAAACCCTGTATTGACATTTCAGCTGCGATCACTAGTGAAGTTGTGCATCAATCCCAACCCTGAACAGCGACCAGACATCTCCTATGTTTACAACGTGGCGCAGGAAATGCATGCCGGAGGCGCCACCTAGCTATTGAAACCTCGCGAGCATGGCATGTACAAGACTTAGCGTATCCTTACTTTCCATAAAAGACAGTTGATGCAATTACTCGAAACTTGTTTGTGAAAATATTTGGTATGTTGCGGTGGTGATTTCGCACAGATTTTGAATTATTATACGTGGATATGAGTTGCATGTAAAGAACACAGAAACCATCCAAGTGCCATTGCCCTTACTTTTGAGAGGCCTTGTCCATGAGGTTTGGTACATGGCAACCTCTTGTCTTGTCTTAAGCATGTGGAAACAATGTTTGTTGTGATCAGGCCACATCATTATGGCTGCTGTGATATTATTTGTCCGTCCTATCGCGGCAGCGGTCTAGTCGATTCTCGATTCTCGCAGTGCTGCCCTCTATAGTATGATGAAGGTGGACCCAGTCCATCTGTGTTTACCAAAGAAGAGATAATGAGCTGAATATGTGGATACACCCTGTGAGCGTTGTTCTCTCACTGATGCCAAAGAATCTCGTAAATTTTTGAGCCAGTTGATGATATGAAATGCAGGAGGCCGTAAGTCATAGTTATGTCAGCAAGTTTGATTGGAAGTATTTTGGAGGTTTAATGTACTAGTAGTTTGGGCAGAGCATAAATGTATATTTAATCTGTGTTATGAAACATAACATTTGTTTCTGGCCATACATATATTTATATATAATATATATATAATGTTAATTAGTTTTTATTGCTCTCAAGATATTTTTACTTCTTTTTTCCATAAGGGTACATATTAAATATCTTCTCTGATTTTATTCCATATTGAATGAAATTTTCAATGGCATTATTGCTTCATAGCACATAATAGTCATAATAGTAACTTGATGATGTGAAATTCTATTAATACAATTCTATCTCTTATCCAGAATACCAACTCAACTTGAGAGGCTTTTAGTATTCTAGTAAATCAAAGAAGGTACTTGTATGAGAATATCCCAATTGCATGATTAGCAAACCAAATAAATATTTTGTTGAGCTAGTAATGAGAGCTGAAGAGTGATGATGTCATATATATTTATAGTTATAATACATTATCAAGAAATAATTATGAGGGGCCATTTCTGTAGTCTGTAGGCATCTTGTTGTAGTTATCCAATAATTGATTCCAGCTAAGTCATCCACTGTTTGCATTGGCATTAGTCTCTATGCAGAACCCATAGAGAGCTATAGCATTATAACTGAAAGTAGATATGTTTGCTCTGAAGCTGCATGATAGTCAGCAATCATGTCACTCGCTTCTGATGCTTTAGCTTGCAGCTACCTTCGCATGATCGTACCGGTGATTATCATGGTCGATTAGGAATGTATTGTTAATGAATGTTGTTAAATTCCTAACACGGTGGAGCCATGGTTGTTGTGGCAGGCATCCACTGTAGTCAATATTGTTGATAAAATTGAGGACTAAGCGATTTTGTAGTGAAGAAATCACTGCTGTTGTAAAGCAATTCGTCGTGGCACTATTGTTTTGGTAACTGTTGCGGTATATTTACTTTAGTTATGAAGTCTATGCTTTGTATATGAATGGAAATCTATTCGTTATTGAATCACATGGACCTGTTTACATGTCTTTGTTCCCGGCCATATAGATGAATGATCGCGAGTGGCAAATCTACGTAAGCAAGATTTTCTCTCCAATGTCTTGGTTTTACACTGTCATCTCTGCGAGGTTTGACAGGGGAACAGATGTAAGTGCATTGTCTACTAATTTACATACGATTTGTGCATGCTTGACCGTTCTAGCCTACAACTGGCCGAATCAGACGCGAGATGTGTTGCTGTATTGTTCTGCAGAAACCATTACGTGTTGGCGAAAGTAATTTTGCTCAGCATTTTGGCCTGTTTTAGCTGTTTAAGTTATGTAACCTTTTCCTGCTACTAGTTGTGGTAATGTTACACTGTTAAGGCACAGCCTTTACTTATCAAAAATTTGTGCGATCGCGAAGGAGTGATAGTAAGACAGCTTATTTATACATATTGATTATTATCTACGTGTCTTACCCATCCCGTCACATAGTGTGCTCACATAGATAATATAGAGGCGTATCATAGAATGCAATGTAGAAATGTGTAATAGTAATATTTTATTTTATTTACCCAGCAAGAATCCAACTCTCACATTTTGTTTTTACAGCACAAGTTTTACGCACGTCACACCCTGCCGTACTAGTCCTACTACCCCTAAGCTGGTCAGAGTAGGTAATACCTGGCGAACAAGATACATTCTCACTCGTACATTAAATATTACCAATCAGTCATTAGAGAAAGAGACAGAGAAAAGGGGAGAGGGGAGAAGATAAAACAGGTGAGAGGAAGGAGGGGCAAAGAGAGAGGGTGGATACAATCAGGGCAGAATTGCAGAACAGCATCAGCAAATACAAAAACGTACAAAATATCAGTGGCTGATGCAAACAGTGACTGATACACTCCCCTGCAACGTACGCACACACGCACACACGTCTACAACAAGCAGTCACTGTTTATTTACAAGCAAACCTGCAGCACCCCCACCTGGTGCCAACTATCCATACTTATCACAGGTTTGCACACCACAATTATTAACAATAGTTAGAGTCACCTCTGTGTGTGTGCGTGCGTGCGTAAGGTGCGTGATATTAAAGAAATGTATTATGATATTCGACACAGTAAGGTGGGCGTTCGGCACCAGGTGGCGCTGAACGCCCGACCCGCTTGGACTAGTTTCAGTTTAATTGTTTGAGTGAGTGGAATTTTTAAGCACAGGAAGCCACAGACCAGTCCGCTCGTGACTGCAATGACGCATAGCTACTCCACCGCAGAGACACCCGTCACCTCACACGCACACTGAGCATGTCCAGGCTCTCCTGCGTCCTCACCTGAGAGATCTACAGTGTGCAGGAGACATCAGCGTGACCTTGGGTAAGGGTGTCTCTGCGGTGGAGGTTACAACACGAGTTTTCCCAGCATTCTAGAGGTGCTATCGCAAAAATGGCACGTACTCCCGTACGTAGGTATAAACCATGTGACACATACTTTCAACCACGCGCGCATCGTACAAGCCCGTTTCGTAATATGGTATAGTAAAATGCCCGCGTCTTAGTAGGGTACAATCGAGTTTCCATGTCGTCACAGGGTACATTCGAATGCCTGTGGCGTAACGGGGTACACAGTTGCGTGCATACAGGACGCCGTGCAACACGAGATTAGATGTACGATAGGACATGATGGGTCCCATGGCTGCATATTACCAAGAGTCCATAGTAGAGTCTCTAGATCTATTATGGACTCTTGATATTACGTAAACTGGACGAGCGCGTATCAGCATCCATCGCCGCAGCCACCATCAGCACATGGCCAAGCACCTGCGTCGTCGGCAATGCTGATTGCAGAGTTTGCGAACATTATATGAGCGCAAACATTCGAGGAGACGTTTCGTTAACGATAATCCGGTTACCATGACGTCACGCACACACGCACGCATATTATGGGTGATGATTGGGAGTTGGTGGTCTACGTCACTGCTACATGCGCTGATGGCTACATGCCCTCTACTTTGTCAACGTGCGACCACGCGTAACACAAATGTTGGTGGTATCATCCAGTTCAACTAATTACGAGCAAAGCAGTGGCGTTAACACCCATGTCGTCACCCATAACACAAACCTCCGCTGGGTTGTTCGAAAAGAATCGAGCTTCTACGTCCAGGAATCATAGAAAATCGTATGAGAGCAAAACGATGACTATTGGTTCTATTTTCCTCTCTCCAAGAAGGTGGAGAAGAGGGGCTGTGGATAACGTATCATATTTGGATGAGCAACACTGCTCGTTTGTAGCAGCGTGTATTTCTCGATTAACTGCCAAGACGTAGCTGCTCCATAGATACATGGCTTAGTCAGAGGTTAACAACAACTTGTTACTAAACAATGACACTACTTAGAAATGCTAGTTGCCAGTGCAGTGACGAACATGCACGTCCCGTATGGCCCCATATGATCGCCCGATCGGCAAAGAATTCAGAAGACAATCGGCTCTCGCTCACGTAAACCCAATTTTGATCAGATAACTTTCAACGTATACTAGAAGACATGGCAATTGAAACATGCGTGCCAGTATGAGACGTTGCAGGCAACGTGCTTGCGCTCACGTACCACATAGTGAAGTTAACATCACCATTTGAAATACGTATAAGCGTAACAGGCGGCCCCAGACGTTTTCATACGCTCGAACACAAGATGGGTCACTGCAAAAGTTTATCCGATGCCTTCAGTGATGGGGTAGATAGGTCAACTTAGTTTATTTCTATAGCAGATAAACAGAGATGTCAGCCTTCTATAGAAAGAAACGCTGGTGCATGCATAGAAAGCTCGGCATAAACTCAGCACCCCGCACAAAGGCATCACAGGAAAAGAAGGGGGATAGAGCGGTCGAGCAGGAAATAAGGGGGAATGTATCTATCCCACCCACTTCAGCGCTTTAAAATTGGTTGCGAATCTGCTCGTCCATGCGTCGGAAACGTGGTAACTCTCACTTCTGTGCGGACTCTCCTCCCACCTCGCAGACTGCCTCTTCCTCCAACTGACACCCTGTCGCACCTCACACACACTGCTTCTACCTCTAGGTTTCGTCCAATCATCTCGTACGCCTATTGGACTTAGGGCATCTCTCCTGCATGTTGGTTAGCGCACTTAAACGCATTTTCAGAAAACACGTGAAAGTGAATTGGCAATAAGATAGGATTATAATGAATTGCAGTAAGGAACTAGTAGTTACAAGCAGGAGTGCTATTAAAGTGAAAAATTACAAGATTTTATCCCGTCGCCGCACTTTGCACGGACGGTACCGTACGTGAATGCTAGACTGCAATGAGAGGAAGACCCAGCAAGCCAGTTACACTACGTTTACCTTTACACGATCAACGTGAAGACACGGCAACTTATTTTTTTATTGACCGATCGTCGCTCATGTAAACTTTATACGTAGTACAACTGCCTTGCTGGTTTTTCCGATTATTAAATGCTTATGTTGCCCATTTTATCAAAAGTCAACGGATATAGAGAAGTAAAACATTTTCTCTGGTGGGTTAACAATTTCACCGTCACCACCGCTGTGATGACAACACCCAGAATTAGGGTAGAATGCTCCACGAGGGGAGTTGGAGAGAGAGGGTCACATGGAATACAGCTACAGGGGGAACTGAGGTCATGCCAAGCTTACAGAAAGAACAGAACACAACTCACGATGAGTAACTATAAAAAATATAATCACCACTTTTAATGTTGCTACAAATGCGTCAATACAAAGTCACGAGCAGTCTGCTATGGTGTCCATGCGCAAAGTTTTTACATCAAGTCTCTCTTAAATAACACTGTATTTACACGGCTTCTTTCCACACGCTCCTTCTACAGTATATATCGACTACAATATCGTAACACGTATAAATGACACATAATGACTGCACTGATACACATTAGCCGGAATTATTTACAAATAGGTACGTTATATATTCACGTGCACCTGTATAGCTTCTGCCAAAACAGGTGCCCGTGCGCCCATGATATAACAACAATAATAATATTAAAATTACATGCCACGTGATGATTTACTTATAGTTCGTTATGTTGTTTTTGTTTTTGTTGTTGATGTTGATGTCGTTCGAGGTTACATTTATTTAATTGAAAACACACTGGCATCTTATACTGGTGTTAACATAAAACATTAGAACTAAAATGGCGCTTAGCACGCCAGCGCAGTCTGGTGATCATGATCCGTACTACAATAGAGTAGGGATCATCGCTTCCTTTCTCAATTGCCATCCGAATATGTAAAAAAAAATATCGCTAATATGCAAATAGAGATCGTATTGTCAAGCATTTACCACATTTCATGACTAATATTGTTATTTCGAAATCATTCACATTGGTGAATACTGAATAAGCATGTTAACTCATCAACTAGCACAGCCAGGGAGAGCCCATAAACTTATGAAACGTGCCTCTATTGCTGAACCGAACCGAACCGAAGTCGAACGTGCAAATAGCACAGTCGTTGGCCTAAGTAGACAAGAGGATGAGGAACTGACCCACAGAGAAAGTTTGATGAAGGCAAAACTACTGGGGCTTCTTTCCTTTACGTTACTGGCAACTGGCAGACTCTAGACCAGTGCTTGTAAGTGACGGGGTGCTACGCTGGCTGTCAGAAGGGAGGAGGCATGTACGCAGATGACACTATCCCCTGCCGATTCCGGAGTCTATCCTCGAGGGATGGGAGAATCCTACGTGTGACAAAGATGGGAAGCCCTGAAGCCAAATCTTGCCATTAATGGCACACTACCCAACTTCCCCCTGAGGGGTTGAGCACCCGCTATCATGCCAGCACCAGACGAGTCTACATAAACCTTTGCTAGGATCAGCACCACCTGCAACCACACTGTCTATCTCCCTGTTCCTTCCCCCTTCCTTTCACAGCTATGACAACGACTAAGGAATGCCTCGCTCCAGAGATACCTTCCCGGCAGTCGATGCAGTAAACACACGGCGGATGTGCGATAGAAAGATCAGTATGGTTCCCTACTCACAACACCAAATAACTTCAGCAATGTAAGCACACGTTTCGTTCATTCCCCCAATCCGGAGCAGCGCCACCTATTGGCCACCTCCATGCACAAGAGCGGCGGCCAGCCGGCCACTTTATTGCCAAGATTCCGAAAACATCGTGATATGCAAATTCACACTTTCACAGTGGATATATATATATATATATCTACAGGGAAGATTTAATACGGTGGCACCAGCTGGTGACGTGCTGTAGCATATTAACAAAGCTAGCCGGTATCGGGTGAGCGTTGATTGCTACTATATACTATTATTATAATAGATAGGCAGAGTGAGCACAGTAAAGAGGTATTATTCCACTGGAGTACAAATTACGATAAACGATTAACGCGTTCTTAAATAACATCAATCCACAACTGTGCTCGAATTACAGCAGGACGTCTCATCTGCAGCACGATAACGGTGCCACCTGGTAGTGAAACCCACCGAGGCCGACACACATGCGCAGATGGCCAGGCGCCCACGCCACCACGACATACTCTTGTGGAAGTCGAATGCCGATACGACAAGAGAGTAAAAGTACGTAAAACACGTATTCCGTTAATACTTTCTCAAGTGTCTCGGATTCCAGAGAACTCTCCCCCAGGAATGTCTGGATGCACAGACTTGCCGATGCAGCATCATCGCTGTCGTCCTCCTCCACCACGTTGCCATGGCAACAGCGATGCTGCGGTCCGGGCGCGGGGGTGCAGTACTAACCGCAGCATGTCACATCCCAAGCTCAGCGATTACAAGGCAAAAATTTCGCCACCACAATTCACGCACACACTCACAGCTATCACCACGAACCGTGAAATGCCACCCACTCATTGCTCAACCCACCCACTCCCGGGACAGGGCTAGCTCGTCTGTATATACCGGCGGTAGCAATTCAACAGAGTAAGTTCTGCTTACAGCTACGCGGCAGCACAGGCTGGGCTGGCATCTACCCTGACGACAAGGCGTGGATGGCGGGACGACATCAGCGGCGGCGCCCCTGCTGCTGGCGTGTTGCGGGTGCTGCGGCGGCGATCACAGGTTTTGCTCGAACAGTTGCATGATGTCACTCTGCTGGTTCATGTCAATCTGTCCTGCAAGCTGCAGAGAGAGATAGAGCATTAACAACATGAGCTGTGGCAGAGAGAAAGATGTTAATAGTGCACGCTGTAAGAGAAACAGACACAGAGGAGAGAAAAGGAATGAGAATGAGAGAAAGAGAGAGAGAGATAGAGAGAGAGAAAGAGAAACACATAGAGAGAAACAGTGAGAGGTGGAAAGAGAGAAGAGAGAAACAGAAACAGAAAGAGAGACACAGTGACAAACACAGCGAGCGAGAGAGAGGGGGGGGGAGAGAGAGAGAGAGAGAGAGAGAGAGAAGAGAAACCAGCTGTTAACAATATACACAGGGACGAGACATGACAGGGCAGATGGGTCAGCGCAAACACACGCACCTGCACATACATTGATTTTATACGCAGTTGCCACCGCCAGCAACACAGAACACGAACACTCACAGCCTCGCGCTTCCTGCGCTCTTGTTCGCGCAGCCGTTGTCGTTCCACGGCTGCACGCTGCTTCTCCTCCTCCGCCTGTCTCTGCTGCTGCTCAATGGCTGCTCGCCGTGCCCTCTCCAATGCCTCCTCCTCCTCACGCTCCCTATAACAGTTGTGCCAGTTAGTGATGTCCCGATGATCGATTATAATCGAAAGTAGTCGTTTGCAGCAACCGACTAAGCACTCGATTATGAAAATAAATAATCAATTATCAAAAAAAAAAATTTGTTGGAAATATTTTTTTTATTTAAAATAACATTTGCAAACAATTGATGAAATGACTATTTATTTAAGTTTTGTGTGTTTTCTTGGTTACTTTACAAATTACAGCTTGGAGACAGTAAATCTAACCTACAGCCTCACGACTCTACCATAAGCTCAGCATTTGACACAGCACACGACGGTAATAAGTGTGGCACTAGAGAGCGCCGCTGAACCATTGGCATTTTGCTAATACCTCTGTTTCTCGCGTTCCAGCCGCTGTCTCTCCTTTTCCTGATGTTCCTTTTGCTGACGCTTCATTAACTCTTGCTCACGCTGTTGCTTCATCTGCAACAACAACAACCACAACAACAACAAAGTTAGCCACTGGACATACAACTGTCTGAATAAGACAACCAGACTGGTCATGAGCATAAAGAGTTAAAATAATGCAAGAAGCACACAACGGTCCCATCTTGTATTCTATGGTAGACCTTCCTTCTCCTTCTATACACACAAACACGTCACACACACCCTCTCCTTCTATACGCACAAACATGTGACACACACCAGGGGTAGAAATTAACCTTTGAACACGGGAGTCCAACGGACTCCCTCCCTACCCTCAAAAAGAGGGAGTCCGCAGTCTGAAGTTCAAAATTAAAGATATTAACAATAACGCATGTGCTTATTTTTAAGATTCATGCAGTTGCACGTCTGCCAAATTTTCTTTGGACATTAGCTGAAAAAATATGGTTATTCCGCGAGGCCGTGCTCCGGAACGAACTAGTTAGTATGGCAGAATTTTCAGGGAGGCACACAGACTCCTGCATATGTCAAATCAGGGAGTCCGACAGTTAATCAGGGAGTATTTGACTCCGGACTCCCATTAATTTCGCACCCTGCACACCCTCTCGTCCTTCGCTACATACAAACATGACACACACCATCTCCTTCTATACATACAAACACATGACACACACTCTCTCCTCCTTCCCTACATACAAACATGTGGCACATACCCTCTCCTCCTTCTCCATCGCTTGCTTCCTGAACTGAGCGAAGCTATCTAGGCTGGGCTTCACACGGCAGCTCATGCTTCCCGTCGGAGTTGATTGCACAGCGAGACTCGACCACGAATCCACATTCTTGATCTGCAAACCCTACGGCAAAACACTGGCACTGAGACAACTCCCATACTCCCGCTGCTACCCGCCCAGTGCCACCACAGAGCCCTCTAATAACAAAGTGGAGGCCACCGATAACGGCTACTTTCCCAAGGCTACCGTAGCGCCACCTGCATGCTGAAACACTCCCATAGGAAGCCACCTGAGGCTGATGACACTACAGTGTCCCTGCATGCTGAAACACGGCGCACGACAACCCCCCCCCCCAGCCACTGCTGGTGTACCGCAAACAAGTGCCGCAGTGCAACAGGGCTCATCTGGTGTCTGGTGTTCTGCTGATAAATTCATTTGTGCATAGCAAGACATCTTATACATAAGTCTTCTTTATTCTTGTTTGACTTTTGTAGCCAATTGGAACAAATATATCAGCTACACTTTCGCACCCACCTAATCTCTATGCATTGCAGACACATGTGCATTGCAGGTTGGCAGGCAACAATTATGATTAGAAGCGTGCCAGCCATGGGCTGCCCAGTGTTTTTGCCTACCCACACAAGCATTCACTGATTCAGCCTTCAGGGTGCTATAGACAGACTGCTTTAGAAAATAATATGATTTAAGGAGCGTAAACCTTGCTCAACAAACATTTGCCTTTGCAATTAAGCTGTGCAACTGTAGCCTCACATTCACACAGGTATGGGCGCTAATAATAGCAAAAGCAGTTCAGTACTTTGTTAACAGTCAACAAATCAATGTTTAACCCTCCTCTTGAGGGTCAAAATGTTATCCGACACTTACTCTTCGCATGTCAGCGGAAAGTACATTTCATGGTCCTTTCAATAAATCCATAAAAATGGTAGGTCACCCCTGAAACAAAAAAGTTTTTCAATCGCTCCGTCAGACCATGTCCTCAGAAAATGTCTAAAATCTGCCCTGTGCCCCATTGACCTTTGACCTGTGACCTCCAATTTCGGCACAGTGATGGCTTTTCCTACCATGATGCTATACTCACCGACTAACACGAGCCTAGGTCGAGCCGTTTAGATTTGTGCCGCAATTCTGCATTTCCTCCCTATACCTTAAGTTAAGAAGGGAATGTTCCCCCTTCTTTTACACCTCTTGACCTTTGACCCCCAGCTTCGACATCCCAACTCGTTTTCAGATTACCCCCCACGTCCCGACTTTCGAATCCGTACGTCGAGTTGTTTAGATTAGTGCCCAACTGTTGACGGACGGACAGGACGGACGCACGCACGGACGCATGCTCATGCGATTCTACAAGCTGCATCTGACTATGTCAGATGAGCTAAAAACAAAAGGTTGAGCACTACGATGATGTCATCCCAATAAATCCTGTTTTATCTCTCATACAGCAATGCTAAACACTCTTCAGAAGTTCATATTGCACGTGTGAGTTTGATGTCAGCTTCAATCATTTCCGGCAGGAGGTTATGTTTTCACCGGCGTGTGTTTGTTGGTTTGTGCGTGTACAGCCTAACTGAAAAAGTTATGGACGGATTGTCATAAAATTTTCAGGATAGGTCAGAAATCGCCTAACTTAGAATTAATTAATTAATAAAATTTTCAGGATAGGTCAGAAATGGGGTAACTTAGAATTGATTAAATTTTGGTGGTGATCCGGATCCAATTAATTATTTAATTAATTATTTAATAAAATTTTTCACAGTGAGAGAATTGAGCTGCCTTGGCGGAGGTCTGTGCTCTCCGAGTGCTCTAGTTTAAAGAATAGTATACAAGTTATCCGATACTGATTCCTTAAAATATATTTTGTGCTGAGATACTAACCTTCTGTGATTTACGATTCTGTAGCATGAAACATACCAAGAGAGAATACGGCAAACGTAAACCATATTATGAGGACAACTGACACACGAAGACATTTTCTTTAATAATGACTACATCCTTAATAACTTACCACTATCGACACACATTACGCATATATTGCGGTCATGATACCAGCAATAGTCTACCAACAAGCAATACATTTTATTCACACATCATGACATTCTCGGAGAAACCCAGTACTGAAATCCCTTGTTCTCGCAACTTCTCCAACAGAAACACTTAAGGCATCTCTATGCTCTCTTCCAAGAAACGAAAGAAAGAATGGAAGGAAGGAATAGAATAAAAAACGCAGTGGCTACGCGTCCGGTCATCCATTACAAAGCTCAGCACAGATTCCCAAATCCACATCACGATTAGGCCACGCATTACGATTAGTAAATCGTAGATTTTACTGGATTTACTATTGCTTCAAAAGTTACAACAAGAGCCGCAGAGCGTCTGGGCTCATCTGAGGTCTGTTGCTACGATTATAAACGTAAAATTTCAGTCTCGTGCGTTCAATGTACCACATTTGTTAGGCGCAGATATGCAGACACGCAGTTGCATACACATCATTGTGAGACACGCCCACTATTGCAGATGGAGGGTGGGGAGGGTGGGGGAAGGGGGCGGGGGAGGGGTGGGGGAGGGTGGGGGAGGGGGCTCTAATAGCAAAAAGCAGTTCACTCCTTTGTTAACAGTCAACAAATCCATGTTTAACCCTCCTCTTGAGGGTCAAAAGGTTATCCGACACTTACTCTTCGCATGTCAGCAGAAGGGACATTTCATGGTCCTTTCAATAAAGCCATAAAAATGCTAGGTCACCGCTGAAACAAAAAAGTTTTTCATCGCTCCGTCAGACCATGTCCTCAGAAAATGTCTAAAATCTGCCCTGTGCCCATTGACCTGTGACCTCCAATTTCGGCACAGTGATGGCTTTTCCTACCATGATGCTATACACCGACTATCACGAGCCTAGGTCGAGCCGTTTAGATTTGTGCCGCAATTCTGCATTTCCTCCCTATACCTTAAGTTAAGGAGTGAATGTTCCCCCTTCTTTTACACCTCTTGACCTTTGACCTTTGACCCCCAGCTTCGACATCCCAACTCGTTTTGACGATCCCCCCCAACGACCGAATATCGTGACCGTACGTCGAGCGGTTAAGATTTGTGCCCAACTGTTGACGGCGGACGGACGGACGACGGCGACGGACGGACGACGGACGGACGGACGATCATGCGATTCTACAAGCTGCATCTGACTATGTCAGATGAGCTAAAAACACATCCCTTTGATAAAATACCTAAATGTAAGTAATATTATCGTAACAAGTGCCACGGAGCGACAGCGCTCATCTAACGTCTACTGCGGTGACTCTGTGGTGGAGTAGTGGGATTCTAGTAAACCCTGTTAGTCCCAAATGTATTCACATACGTGCCAAAACAGTTAAAGGCACAGGGATGGTATCAGGAACCTTGTCAAAGGAATGTTCGTTGGGGATCGTTATGAAAGTTGCACGAGATGGCGCGTACGTTTAAGTGTCTTCAGATTAAAGATGGAGCTCCCATCGTACAGAGTAGCAACAATTATTTGCAAGACAGAATAGGTAAGCACTCACTCCATTTACCTACGCAAGCCTACAGGCTGAAATAGAGAGCTGCCACCTGTAACTAATGAACGCAGGCAAAAACTACACAGTACTATCACCACCACATGCACTGGCAGTGGCCACTGGCAGTGGCATAAGTTACATATAACACACTGACAGTACAGAATGCCATAGAAATTATACGATTTAAGAGCATAAACCTTCTTCAACCAAATTTAGCTTTTGAAATTTCACTGTGACATTGTTAGCCTCATACATCCAGGCATGTATAGATTCTACTAGCAAACCCAGCAGTCAAATTCTTTCTAACTAAATTCCAGTAAACAAATCCATCTTTAACCCTCCTCTTGAGGGTCAAAAGGTTATCCGACACTTACTCTTCGCATGTCAGCAGTAAGTACATTCATGGTCCTTTCAATAAAGCCATAAAAATGCTAGGTCACCGCTGAAACAAAAAAGTTTTTCAATCGCTCCGTCAGACCATGTCCTCAGAAAATGTCTATAATCTGCCCTGTGCCCCATTGTCTTTGACCTGTGACCTCAAATTTCGCCACAGTGATGGCTTTTCCTACCATGATGCTATACACTGACTATCACAAGCCTAGGTGAGCCGTTTAGATTTGTGCCGCAATTCTGCATTTCCTCCCTATACCTTAAGTTAAGGAGGGAATGTTCCCCCTTCTTTTACACCTCTTGAACCTTTGACCTTTTCCCCCCAGCTTCGACATCCCAACTCGTTTTCGGATTACCCCCCCACGTCCCAAATATCGTGGACCGTACGTCGAGCGGTTAAGATTTGTGCCCAACTGTTGACGCACGCACGCACGCACGCACGCACGCGACGCACGATCATGCGATTTTACAAGCTGCATCGACATATGTCAGATGAGCTAAAAACTTATTGTTTATTGTTTTTCACTGAAAAAATATAGTTGGATTCACATAAGAAATATATGACCGGACGCATAGCGTGGAGCTGGGCGTCCGATAACCGGACGCGTAGCCACAGCCAATAAAAAATGGCAAGAAGGCATGAAGGCATAGAAGAAGAAGAAAGGAAGGGAGGAAGGACGTGTGTGGAGTAGCAACTGCAGGAAGCATCTTTACAGGAAAAAATTACTTTTTTTCACGAGAGCTCTTTTTCAAGTCTGTGGAAAAAATAGCTCTCGTCAAAAATGTCGGGAGCAATTTCGCAGGTTTGAAGAGCTCATCGCTCATCGCTCCGTGTATTTTTTTTACCACTGATCTTTACCTTCCTGCTGGCGGGTGTGTTCGGTGTAGTGTTCTGCACATCTTCATCAGGTTCTCGCTGGAGTTCTCGTGGTGACATTGTTGCACTCGATGCATTGTCGCGCGACGGCGCGGCGCCGGTGCGGCGGCTGACGTGTAGGAAAACTCCCGTCGACGCTGCAGAAACCACAATACAGGGTGCGAATAACGCGAAGTCCGAGTCAAATACTCCCCAATTTTACTGCCAGACTCCGCTCGATTTTGCACAAATGCCAAGATCCGCTGTGACTCCCTGAAAGTGCAGTACCAACGAGTTCGTTCCTGAGCACGGTCGCCTCCCGGCAATAACACATATTTGTTCAGCTAATGGCAGGACGTGGCCAACTGATGAATCTTAAAATAAGCACATGATGCGTTATTGTTAATATCTTTAATTTTTTGAACTCAGAACTGCGGGACTCCCTCATTTATTCCGCAGACTCCCTCTTTTGGAGGGTAGGGGAGTCCCTTGGTCCCATGCGTCAAAAGTTAATTCTACCCTGCAATAACAGCGCCGGTGAGGGAAAAACCAACGCTGCGACCTGCTTACATCACTGCTGTCTGCCGCCATCGAATCTCTTCTCAGACCGGATTAATGCCACTAGCGTTGGCAAGGAGAAGGTCTACCGCTTGCTGATCTACCAGAGTAACAAATTTCTTAAAGGTGGCTGTTGCATGTGTTTAGTATTCGCAAGCCTTTTGAAGAAGGGCTATATTAACGTTTACTATGCAAAAGTAACACGAGCGATATGAAGGAATGGACCATAGAGAGGCTGGCTCACTTCTCAATCTGAGTGATGAGCTACGTACGCCGTAATATTGAACCATGCAATTGCAGCGCTATTGTCGCCGACCAGGCGAGGAGAAATACAAGCTATGTACACGACACGCCCAAACACTATTGCACACCAAAGAGAACTTTTGCATACGTCAGCGTTCATTGCAAACCAAACATCAAGAAGTACCGAAAATCTTTGTTAATAAATGTATTGCGGCTTTCATAATAAAACATAAGGTAATTATATTTCATATAAATACACTAATTAACCTCGCTAGGCCAACAGTTCGACAAACTGAATCAAGCTGCTGCCAAGCTCTCATTCAACAAGGCTTCAGCTTCGAACCACGCCCTGAATGTGTTACAAACAGGGTAATTACACGGATTTGTCGTCATGAGACAAAATCCGCACAGATAGAAACACCTTGACACGTCTCACAGTTGGGCGCGGGCAGGACTTGGGAACTCGGCCGGTGGACTGCTGCTGGTCGTCGTCACCGATTGAAGAACTTGACTGCGATCCTTCGAGCGCTCATAACGACGACGGGCAGACTGCGACACCTTGACGGCGGTCCATGTCGACGCACCTGCACGAGTATGAAGAAAATCGAAAGGTCAAAGGTCGGACCACTCCAGTCATTGGAATTACCTGTCTGAAATGAGGTTACAACCCCTTCCCACATATACTGCTTGCTAGGTTTAATCAAGCCACACCAATTTGTATAAGGTTTTCACGGGATATACACGCGCAAAATGCTGACTTTGCGCGCATTCTCAATTATTATATTTGTTTTTTTAGAAAGGCATACCAACAATGGCTTGATTGGCTAAAGTTGAGGCTGAGCAAGAGTCGAACTTCTTGAGGCAGATAGCATAAATTAAACAAAAGATAAGATAGAATCTAGATTAGATTAGATTAGATAAAATTAAAGTCTTACGAGGATTGTGTGGCAAAAAAAAAAAAAAATTGAGGCAGAGAAAATGCCCACAAAGTTCATAAATCATGTTGTACACAATACGTAAGGTATAGGATTACTTGTCATGTGGCCGTATGATTACAATGAAAGTGTCAATAGACACGTGTTAGCTCCCTTGCGGTGATAGAGAATGGGAGGGGGGATATATAAAGCAAGAGATATGATGGGGAGAAACTCTTATATCAGATATCTCCATTATTATACTCTCGATAATGATATATTGCAAGTGTTGATGCCGAAAATTACAATGTTTCAGATCTGACAAGTCTGAAATCTTGACGAGAGATGGCCGCTCGCCTAACATGATTGCTTTTGGGTTTCGGTCAGGCACATTT